TGAAGTCACCAATCAGCGTCTTCGGTTTTTGCGAATGTCGGGACCCAAATCGGATCAAAACTTGAATTTTGCAGTATCTTACACTTCAAATGAATATTTTTTGTCAGCATATAACATATTAACATTTTATGAAGACCTTTAGAATTTATGTGACAAAAAGTATTTCAATAGTGTGAATTTATTCCTTCAGTCCAAAACATAATGCATTGTCGTCGCACACGCCATTTTTTTAAAAGCGAAATCAAAACACTGACATTTGAGTTTGAATTACGTTTTCTCATGCTATTTGAACTTACAAACTAATCTTCTGTAGACAAAAAATGGTGCATGGCTATCTATTCTAAGACAATATCAGTGCTATTACCGATTTGTTAACACATTCATTTATTTATAAGTATTTTTGCAAAAAGTGATCGGATTTAGGTACTGCTTCCTTACACCCAGTACTTGTAAACATGTCCAGTTCAGCTACACCAGTTTACTGTCAGTTAGACCTCCAACCCAGTGGCAGTGCCATGGGCTAACATATATAAACCGATTATATATTTCATGTTTCTGATTATAGTACTAGTTTACCTATCAAAGTAGATTAGTACAGTAATTGTCTCATAGATTAATAAGAGCGAAGCTCTTTTCCGGTAACATGTGTACAAACAATTGAAGGCATGGTAACGTCAAAATACTATGCTTCCAAAATCCTTCGTCACGGAAGTAGCTAGTATAGAGTTACCGCGGTCCTATTTTGTTCGATGCTGTTTAGCTTTGCTACACATTCTCAAAAATATCTCTTTATTTGATTTTTTTTCCTGAATGTAAATTCATGACATTAAAAATTATAGAAACTGAAGCTTCTTTCAAATTTTCAGTCTTTTCTTCTCTCCTATCGTGACCCAATCCGAAGTATATAGTAACTACCAAACCAGACGGAAATCTGGATATGTTTGGGCTATTGTGATTCTCTTTTTACACGATTTAGAGGGATCAGGCAAAGTATGTCATGTCGGAAAATAAAATTGGAATTTAATCATCAATATACTTAACTTTTATAATAACAGATAATAACAGTTACATTTGATAAACAATACATCTTCAAATATGAAGTCCCTCTACGTATATGGGGCCTCACTCTTTCCACAACATTACGCTGAGGCCATGCATAGACGGGGCAATTAAATGCAACAGTACCAAATGCAATGGTGTTTTCTTTTGAACTGCATAATTCAGCCAAATGCTTTTCTTTACTTATTATTAATTTTACATTTATCGCTATAAAACGAATAAATAGATACTATTTTAAACAATGTTATTTAGAAAATAAAATTGAAAAAAACAGCATTTAGACGCTTCTCTCGTTTCAGGCAATGCCTGTTTTCAAAATGAATGATTTTGCCCAGCAACAGATTCAAGTATATTATAAAAAAAATACAGGTACATTTTGTATGTATTAAAATGGGTAATGTTATGATTCAAAAATTATAGTATACAGGTCCAGTACACTCTGCCGTTTGAGCTATATATAGCTGTAAAGACCTATAATAGCTCTATTGACCTATCTGAAATAGGTCTTTAGAGCTATTTTCATGTGATTTTCTTTTCTAAGGAAAACGAAACAAAGTCGCTTTTAAAATAAGATTTATCATTATGATGATAACAAAAGACATCAAATATAAGTATTCTTTCTAAAAAATAATGATGTAAATAAATCAAAAATTAATACATTTATGAAAAATGAAAATAAACATCGGACTGTATGCTTTTTGTAGTCAACATTACCATAAACCTTATTGTTTAATGCGACTTTGCTTTGATTTAATGAGATTTGAAATCTGAGAAAATATAGCTCAATATAGCTATAATGTATAGGTGAATATAGCTCTATATAGGTCTTTATAGCTATATAGCTCAATCGGCAGTGTACTGGACCTGGTATAGGCCTACTATCGAAACAAATGTACGAGCTGCGCTCTCTCCAGGCCATGCCGGAGTCATATTATCATATAAACTAAAAACAACTAATATTGTCGTACCTTATTATGAAACTATATAATAACAACACTAGTTAGACGTTGTAGTCGTAGGGACACTGGAGGTTTCGGCCAATGTCGTTCCATTGACCAGGTCGCTAAAACCTCCCTCTGTCTCGGCTCCTGGACTTAGGGTGGTCGCCGTCTTCAGCTCAGGATCCCATAGTAAACTGTAGTAAATAGCCAGCACAATAGCTGCCAGTGAAACGGACAACACATACGCCAGAACTGTCGCTAGCCGAACCCACTTCTTGTTTGTTTTAGCAGCCATTTTGTTTTTGTTTTTGTCGGCAGAGAAACTGGATCCCTTCATCCCTGGGCCTGAAGCATTTCGTGTGTTCTCGTCTTTCTCCATCGCTGAATCAAGTAGTCACGAAAAGTCAGTGATTTTTTGGCAACAAGCTTATGTTATTGATTTTATAACAATCCTATTATGTAATGTCCAGGTTTTTCAACACAAGCGGATGTGATGTTTAGATGCTGTTACACGGCTGTTGGACGGCTGTTCCAGCTGCTGATGTATCTATTTTTAGCATGTATCTCTCTATTAATCAACCAATGGGTAGGCCTAGCTGAATCCGTTTTATCGACTATATATGCCTGAATTAATCAATAATTTGAGGTATATGAAAAGAAGTAAGCCTATATATATGGCTTCGTTATGGCAAACAGCATTTATATATCAAAGATATGATTTAATAAATCATGGATCGACATGTGTGTCAACAGCCATCAAAGTTGGGCACTGGTCATTACTACACTAGCCTACTGTCTACGTACTGTACCTGTTACGGATATTGTAGACAAAAATATCTGTTACATTTTTACTAATGAACTTTCACAAAATTTCGCAAATGAAAATGTCAGACCAATATCACGGACTTAAATCTAACCTAATGCCATACCAATATTAACTTTGTCTGAGTTTTAGAACACGGGATTACATTTTCAAACTATCAAAATTCTCAGGAAATATAGTGATACCAGGGACTTAGATAGCAATTAGTGAATCTAATTCCGTGGTGATACATATTGTGGTGCAATTAAGGCGATGATTATTTTAAACTGTAAATTTTAAATTCAATAGACACAACTAGATTCGATAGAGCTAGGATATGCTCTAATTGCCAGTGTTTTAAGGTACTTAGTACTAAAAGAGTTACATTCGGAGGTACATTAAGTAGGCTGAGTTGTTCAGAAGAGTCTTTTTCTTAATTAGATAAAAAGGATGAAATTGGCGAGTCAATGAAGCTTGATACGCTATTGAGACTAAAATTAAGGTCATCATTTTATTTTGAAAGTCGGAGATTAATAAGCAACAGTGCTAAGGTCAACTGTGTCAGAATGTTACGTCTCTGACTGCAGGTACATGCACATTATATGGAGGCTGAAAGACCGTTCAATCTCAACCCTCGGGGTAAGATTCCTAAGCTGTCAAACATTCGGCAAGCCTCGTGTTTGACAACTTAAGAATCTTACCCCGGGGGTTGAGACTACCCTGTCTCGCCCCCAAGGGGGTGAACGATTCTATTAGTCTCACCCTAGGGTTGAGACGGGGGGATTCCCCTATTCATAATAATGACATGACGTCACTTCAACAATACAATGACGTCACGTCAACAATCCATCAACGTCACGTCAACCCTGAATTTAGCATGTAACGTTATCATTACATTGTGTATATGATATACAATGGGAGAACAGGGTAAGAGAAAAAGAATCATTCATCCCCTTGTGAATGAGATAGGGGAATTTCAACCCTCGGGGAAAAAATCTTAAGTTGCCAAACACTTGGCAAAGCCTCGTGTTTGGCAACTTAAGAATCTTCCCCCACGGTTGAGATTCTCCTATCTCACCCAAAGGGGGTGAACGATTCTATTACTCTTTCTACATTATACTCGAAAACTCCACAAATAACTATGGAACAGTTTCATCTGTGACGTCATAATACATTTCGTATAAGCAGTACTCTTACTCTTACATACTCTTAAGTGCATACGTCTCTGATAGACTGCGGCATGGCTATCACAATCACCTAGAAGATAACGGTTAAAAACACACACAAGATTAAATTTTGCTTATTACATATATGAATCTGGCATATAAGGGAAAGACAAATGCTAGTGGACCTCTGCAGGCTATCGCTAAGTCTAGAGAGCCCTGTTGCTACAAACACACGCTAATCTTGTTCTTGTCAGATTCCTTATAAAGTGATCATGTAAAATATCTTATATGTCCTGTTATTAATTATCATATAATAAAGTGCAAAACTAAGGTCCGTATACGTTTCAATTATACTTGTTTCATTTTGTATCACGAAACAATTAATAAATGACGAATAAATTAATCTACGCAGAGACATATCAAGTCACATATACGTAGTCTAGGTCTCTGATCTAATACTATATATACAACATTTGATATAGCGCCCTATCTAGCTAACATAAGCCACTCTAAAGCGCTTTACAGTACATAGCAGTGGCGGATCCAGAGACCTATCTGGGGGGGGTTCCAAATTTCCTGGGGGGGGGGGGGTCCCTGTTGGAAAAAATTGAGGAAAATGGTCAAAATATATGATTTTTAAAGAAAATTCTCAGGGTGGGGGGGTTTCCTGAAGCCCAAAAAACCCCTCTGGATCCGCCACTGCATAGATATACAATTAATACACTTAATACAATTAGCATTTTTTTTTTGAGGAATTCGCAACAGCTGCCTTATCAGGCGCTAACTACTAGTCCTATGCCACCTGGCTAATATCTCCCTATGTGTGTACGTCTGCGTGCACGACAACTCGAATTTTGACAGAAGTCGCAGGCTTTGATTTTCATGAAATTCTGTACACACACCTCTAGCAGCAATTACCAACTGCTGTGTGCTTTTGTATTGAACGCCAGAGCTGTCTAGGATATGGAGTAAGAATCAAGCCCTATATATAGACCTAGCCAAACGACGAAAATCCGGATAGGTGCATCACCGTTTTCTTGTTTTGAGGCGTTAGTCTTTGCTCCATCGCAAACCTGGACGTGTGCTAGAGAAATGGCTTCGTGCGTGCGTGTGCCTGCATTTTCGTAATTCTTAGTCCAGATGTAAGTAACAATAATATTTTGTTATGGTCAAAAATACGTATTCTCTATCTGGTATTAGTTTTGAATGCATTGTACTCGAAAGAGCTATATATAACGAGTAGAAAAGTTACGAGTACTTGTGGAAGGGAGGTAACTCTTTCGAAATATAACTAACTCGTTTGTCATATTTTACCTAAATGTAAAAAAACGGATCTTTTGACATTGGCTATAATTTGTGAAATATTAACACGATGCTATGGTATCTATGCTATTAAAATTATTATATTTATAATTGATACATCTGTAATAATATTTTAAATTATGCATGAATGTGCCTGTCGCAAGATAAGAACCATCAGCAAGTTTGTTTAAAAATTAATAAAAACCCTGTCTTCTTCACAGCTCCTTAGGAGTAGGAAGCTGATAATGGTTACAGTATTAACTACCTTCTATAAACTAATGTCATCATGGTAAAATATTAGCTAGCCTCCTGCTGATTCAGCTGGGAGAAGTTCTCTTTAGCTCAAACTTTAGTAACACCACAGCCTATAGTATATCATGGCTGGACCAAACTGCCTGTGAAGCAAGAAAGGAAAAAGTTTGGAAGTGGACTAAATACCTTCACTGTAAAACACCTATAAACTTTGAAAACTACAAATCTACAAATATTGCCGTGACCCATGTAAAACTTGGGATGAGTAAATTCTTTCCTTGAGGGGAAGTGTGTTTCCTAGCACTAATATTAATACCCGGCCGGGTATTAAATCGATCACTTGCCTGATAATGGTGCAAGCCATGTGTGAATCACACAGGGGTGATTTTAGGATTAATTGATAGCACATTGGTCCACATCCATAAATAGGGTTGTAGTATGAACTATTTCTGTTGATATCCTGTATAACTTGAAGTTTAACTCTGCCTAAAATGACGTTAAATTATCAAGTTAATGTAGCAAGCGCAATCGAAATCTGAATTGACCGCCATGTTGGAAAGTTCGTCTCTCCCTCCAATATAGGTCAGACGTGTATATATGGTTGTCATGACCAAATATGGAAATTGTAGTAAACATGGCGGCATCAGTAGTATTACTACATTTGGCCATGCAGGATAATTGAGATAACATCACCCGTGATCTGTCATGGCAGTCGTTTCTAATTTTTTTCCCCCCAAGATTGACTTGGCTAATTTTGTGAAAGTTATTTTCATTGGCAAGGATTCGTTTTTAGCTCACCTGGTCCAAAGGAGCGTGGTGAGCTTATGCCATACCGCAGTGTCTGTCGTCCGTCGTCCGTCTGCAACTTTTCCTTTAACACGCTACTAGTCCTGAACGGCCAAGTAGATTTTGACTAAATTTGATCTGGTGAATCCTTAGGCCAAGGGGACTCAATTTTGTATAAATGGTGGGTGTGGCTCCCCTGGGGGCAGAGGGACGGGCCCTATAGGGGAAATAGAGGTAAAACCTTTAAAATCCTTCTTCTACCGTAGGGATTAAGGGATATTATCCTAATTTAGTTAATTGGAGCATCCTTTGGCCAATGGGACTCAATTTTGTATAAACCGTGGGTCTGGCCCCCCAGGGTCTATGGGGCAGGGCCCAATAGGGGAAATATAGCAAATTCTTTAAAAACCTATTTCTTCTGTAGGAATGAAAGGATTTGGTCCATATTTGGTGTGGAGCATCCTTGGGTTAAGTGGAACCAATTTTGTATAAACCCTGGGTCTGGCCCCCCTGGGGGCTGAGGGGCGGGACCCAATAGGGGAAATATAGCAAATTCTTTAAAATCCTTCTTCTTATGTAGGAATGAAAGGATTTGGTCCATATTTGGTCTGAAGCATCCTTGGGTGAAGGTTAACCAATTTTGTATAAACCGTGGTTCTGGCCCCCTAGGGACAGAGCCCAATAGGAGAAACATAGCTAATTATTATTTAAAATCCTTCTTCTGTAGGAATGAAAGGATTTGGTCCATATTTTGTATTAAGGTAATAGGATTGTGTCGCCATTTCTCAGTAGAATTTATTCAAATTTTGTAGTTATATTGCTTTGAAGTAAAGAAAATTTTCTGCCACAAAAAAAATATAGGTTGTCAGAATTTTAAGGATTTTAAATGGAAATTTATGTAAAAAGGATTGAATTTTGAAAAAATTGAAACACATTTTTGTGCAAAATAATGTCAATAAAAATGATACTAACATAGATTAGTATTGCATTACTTTATATCAATTTCATAAATGCTGAAATTGTGTAAAATGAATCATCTATAAACGATTAAAAATTGACATTTTATAATAAAACCATATACACATAGTAATTGCATGCAAGAGTTATCGTTCTTGAAAAACTTCACAGTAGTGAAATAGGTAGCCGGTTTCCTGAAGTACAGAAAAATGGACACATGTGACTCATTGATTAAAAAACAACTGAATTAATGCCTGGATTGCTTTGCAATACTTTAATATTGAAAGAACACACTGTTCTGTCAATAATAAGCATACAATATTCATCAATTTAATATTAAACATTAGAATATGCGGAAATTGTGATACTGTCTCCCTACATTGGATTTTCAACTAGGGATGTACTTCCTATTTCCGTTTAGCAATACACTCCTATGACCTTAACATACAGTGTGGCCCCTCTTGGGGCAGAAGGGAGGGGCCCAATATGGGAAACATAGCAAATTCTTCAAAATCCTTCTTCTTTAGGAATGACAGGATTTTGTCCAAATTTGGGGCCCTTTTTGAAAAAAATCTTGCTATATTTCAAGTACTGGATGGATCTTTCTGAAATTTCATATGTACATACAGCACCTACGATGGAGTGATATATCTTAACTTCATACCAATTATTTTAAACATATTCAGGTGAGCAAAACAGGCCCTCTGGGCCTCTTGTTTTTTTCTTATATGAGGCATGAATTATATGTAATCTTACAGATTAGCATTCATGATTTTGCTCCATTCAGTTGGCATAGGACCACTTCATAGCTCTGCATGATGACACAGTGATTGTACCATGATGTGATCAATTATTTTCCCATAGTTCATTGTAAGCAATATAATTCAACTTTCAAAAGGAGGGGGACCGTTATTAGAACTCCATTTGATATCCATGATATGTTTGAATACAGTAATTATGATCATAATTAGTGCTGGGTAATTACAAACTAGTGGAATCCTTTTAATTTATTTCGGTCAATACAAGAATTGAAAACTTTCCAAAAGTGATTTTTTTTTAATAATGGGTTAATAATACCTACCATTAACCTCATTAAAGGTCAATAATGGTGTCACAGGAAAACTGCTGTAGATATATCATGAACTTGAGCTATTTGCAGTGTATTCTTTTCCTTTAGAGTTCCCTCCCCTCATTCCCACTCTGTCATCACAGTGATATATGTAGCTTTTACAGATGATGGGGACTGAAAATGTCTGCAGTGTTAGATGAAATCACCATCATATACATATATTTACTTGTTGATGTTCCTTAACATATGATGTCAGCTACAAAACATCCTCGATATACAGGGGTTACGCTCACTTTCGCTCTCTGCACCCCTGGCATATGTCATAGCAAAATTGAAGACACACGGCTAGCTATTTGATTGGTGTCAGTTTAAAAAAATTTAAACCTGACCAATAACTAGTCCTTTGAAGATTACAGAGGAGCGACGCCCGACTTCAAAGCCAATAAGTTTTACTGTTTCGCGACTGTAATCACGGAAATATCATGGATCTTTTTCAATACAATGTATTTCAGTATACACCGGTCTAGGTTGACTAGGTAAGTCAACCTTGACCTTTGTCTTTATGTTGGTGCTAATTTTCATAAGTATATGTAGTGATTGGATGTAATAATTGGGAAGTTGGGGAATTCAATATGTATGTTTGTGTTCATCAATGTGAAGATTATAGGCAATAAATTGTGTTTAAATATTTCCAGTGATGTAGGTTTGTTTATAAACCGCGAGATTCTTTGATGTGCATCAAAGGATCGAACTAGTCTTCTCATCTCGTCCACAAGGCGGTTCACGCTGAGCCTTCGATTTTGCTATGATATATTCCAGGGGTGCAGAGAGCAAAAGTGAGCTACAAAAATAAGGATATTTCCTTATAAGGGTAAACTTTTGCATTAGTTTGTCCACCAATCTTGTGTACATTGTAACGTCATGTTCCTATTGTAATGTAATGCCATGTAATTGTGACGTCACAACGTTGTCTTTTCATAATAAAACTAAAGATCCCTGTAAAGGGTGAAAGCTAAGCAGCTATTTTTCTAGATGGTGGTTAGATCTTTATATATTTTCTATACTTGCCTTTTCTACATGGACAATATATATTATATACCATATATATGGTACCAAACTGGTTATTGTTAAACCTAACGAAAGGTAATTAATTGTCCGCAGTTTATGTTGATTCATAATGTTATTTACAGGAATCGGGACACTCTCATTAATGAATGATGAAAGATGGCTTCAAGGATGAAAAAGAATGTTGAGATTTGGAAACAGCGGGAAGAAGACCATAAACAGAAACAGCTAATCAATCCATTCTCTGACTGGGAAGGAGCTTCACACAGACAGGCATTGAGCAAGGATGATCCCCACTACGGTCGACCAGTCGAGGGGACGAAGACGGAGTTCCGTGGTAAAATGGCAGGTGAACTTATCAGTGGCGAAGTGATCGAGCTCTGTGACGTCATCGCAAATATTGGAGAGAAACAAAGTAACGGTGTGTACACAGTTTCCTTCGGTAAATTATTTGAAGCGTATACATTAATCTCCAACAAGCTCGTGGGTATGCTGATGAGGGCACGGAAACAGAAACTACTGCACTTTGAGGGTGAAATGTTGTATCAGAGGAGAGACGATGATGTGATCATAACATTGTATGTTCTGCCAAAAAGATCAGACTAGAAATGACACTACATGTTTTACAAAGCTAATTATTCGAAGAATTGATTCGGCTTTTACAGAACTGAAAATCAATGGGTGCATACACAAAGCTTTTAAAATGAATACCAGTCCATGCAAAATTTATTTAAGCATTGAACTGTTTTTGTATGGTATTTATGATCTATTTGAATGACACAGCTTTGCAAGCAAACAACATAATATGCGCTAGCGCATTGTGATTTGTTTGCTTGCAAAGCTGTCATTCAAATAGATCTTGAATACCATACAAAAACAGTTCAATATTTATATTTACATTTTCTCTGCCTCTTATGTTCTTTTTTAACTTATAATTTATATCTAAGATTAAAAATGTCCACACAATTTCGTTAAATAGTTTGAACAGCGTATTGTCGCGTGCTGATTGGCAAACAAAGTAGTACTTTGAAATTTTAACAAACACTTCAATTTTATTCCACGATTCAGTATCAATACAATTGCATATGATATGTCTATAGGGTGATTTAAGTTTATCAATAGAACTCTGAGCTGAAAGTTAGATTTGAAATTGTTTCGATTTTTCCCCGGAACAAATTTCATGCATGGACAAATACAGTGAACACTGTAAATCCGACCTTGCCCTCCACGAGGAAGTTATTTTCGGAAGTTAACTTTTCTCTTTGCTCAATTTGTGAAGAATCCAGGCGTGAATTTATTTGTTGATTGTATGGGAACCTGACAACAGTCGGTAGATTCTATAACAACCTTGTTATTTGACATGTCGTCAGAAACTGAGGAATGGTGGATGCGAGACGCATGAAACTGATATCGTTTAAAGTGAGTGATCTTGCTACAGAGCACAGGTTCGTTACAAATGTCTGAAATGTGTATGTGTGCTGTTACTCATATCAGTAGGTCTGTAACATATGTGTCAGTAGGTCTATATAATACGTGTATTTCAGACATTTGTAACGAACCACTGTTGATTAGTGCAGTGTAACAGACGATATTTCTGATAAATTGCATGAGCGTTAAAATTGTTTCCATTGCCGGCATTGGTGATTTCAACCGATGTGCATTTTGTACGATATTGCAGACCTTGGTCTTGTTTCGTTGTAATAAAAGTGTTTTTTATTTTTTTTTAATTTTGCACATAAATTTACAATTACATTGCCAAATCTCACAATGCCCAGCGATATATTTCAGCAGCCGTCATGTTTATTTATATTGGATATTGTAGTTCCGGTCAGTGTTGTATTAATACGCTAAGAATTGTGTCTCGTGATGCATGGTAATTAAAGTCCCATCAACGACACAGCTTTCAAAGAGGCTATATAGTGACAATGCCATGCAAATGTAAATATTTCATTTTTATACGCCTATCGAAGACGGGGACGTATTATGTTATCACGTGAGCGGGCGGGAGGGCGGTCGGGCTCGATATCTCAAGTAATTATTAACGGATTAACTCCAAACTTCACAACAAGGTTAATTACCATGAAAGCTCTGACAAGTTTGATAACCGCCATTATCCTATCATAATTTGTGGAGTTATGCCCATTTACTTGCCGAAACAGTGTCCGCTCGATATCTCGAGTAATTATTAACGGATTAACTTCAAACTTCACAACAAGGTTAATTACCATAAAACCTCGGACAAGTTTGATAACCGCCATTATCCGACAGTAATTTGTGGAGTTATGCCCCTTTATGGACTTTCAGAAACAGTGTCCGCTCGATATCTCATGTAATTATTAACGGATTAACTTCAAACTTCACACCAAGGTTAATTACCATGAAACGTCGGACAAGTACGATAACCGCCATTATCCGACCATTATTTGTGGAGTTATGCCCCTTTATGGACTTGCAGAAACAGTGTCCGCTCGATATCTCGAGTAATTATTAACGGATTAACTTCAAACTTCACAACAAGGTTAATTACCATGAAACGTCGGACAAGTTTGATAACCACCATTATCCGACAGTAATTATTGGAGTTATTCCCCTTGGTTTCATTAATGCGATGCATGCGTTCCATGATGTTGTATTGCACTCATTGATCTACCAGTTATGTTGAATGATTTCTCTTTTAATATCAATTACTCACAAATACTTCATATATTTCAATCATACAAACAACTGCTCATTCAATATGTGACGGGTGTATTATATACCACTCGTGGTAATCTTGTTACCGTTTACTTTTCCTTGTTTACACGATAACTCAAACAATTGTTCCTTGATTTTTATGAAACTTCTTGGTTGTTTCATTAACCTGAATGCTTTGAATGAGTTCTAAAATTGTGACATTTAAACGCTATTCAGCGGAGTATTGTCCCTTTTTCATTCCCAAATAAGAGCATTCCGTCGAAAATGCAAGAACTTTTTAATTATTTGTTCAAGATTCCTACCTCAAAGCCAGGGTTCTAGTTTTAGTAGTAGTGACATTGACCCAGAAAGTGTAATTCTAAAACACAAAATAGCTTACGCCATAAACACTGTACCTGTAAATTTTAATGAATGGCAAGGTCACAGTAACAAACAAAACAGTGGCAGTAAACACATATCATATGTCACTACCTGCTTCCAATATATCAATACCCTTCCGAGGGTCCGACGGGCGTATCATGCTTCCTCGCAGTGCTCTTGTTTAGCTAGCAACTGTACATGTATGGTCTGTTTTGTATGAAAACTTATCTGAACTGATTCTATCAGAAATTCAATTTCTGACATCTGAATAAATCCTAGTGCTGCAGTTGATACTTGGATTAGAAATTGTTTCTTAAATATGTAACAATTGAATTTAAAAGATCTCAGTGCTAGCCATTTAAAAAAAAATGGAGCCACCATCAAGAGATTAATTTGGTTACACACAGGAATGTGAGACTTGTAGAAAAATGGGAATACCTTGCAATGTCTTAGTTTGATAGGAAAACTTGGTTAATGCAACCACAGGATCTGGTAAAAGATGAACAAATCACAATCAGTAAGAAAACTCTAAACACAAGTTAGTTTTTGAGACAATTTTGTTCTGAATGTACTTAGGCTGATATATCAGTACTGCCAGGATCACCAGCTATAACAGGCATTTCAGCTAGCAGAGTGTTTGCTTAGCAGATTTAAATCACTATCACAAGTTTGTTACATGAATGTTTTGAGACCTGCAATGCTGGCCAAGGGGATACTCAGATCTCAGTTGTAAATGGTAGTGTCTTTTGAAGACATCTACATGTATTGTATAAATATTACATGTACCAATATAGATACACCGAGGGGTGTCCTTCCAAGAGTTCATGTACAGGTGTATAATTATAGTCTGGTTTATTCAGCAGCTGCAATCCATAAGTTACATCCATTATCTATGTTTTGTTCAATGTTGGAAACCTGTTTGAACATTTACAATAATTATGTCTTTTTTTTTTTACTAAAGTTTACAATCGAAAATATAAAAGAAAAGGGTTTATTGTTTTACTATGAATATGTAAATTATACTAAATTTACACCTCACAGTAAAGTGTGTCCTCAAGAATAAAGACACAATTAAGCTCCAGCATGTACATTATTGTGTCGCCTGCGAAAAGCTGGTGACACATAGGTATTGCTATGTCGGCGTCGGCGTCCGAACAGAGGTTTTCGTGCGATAACTTGAGTTTCCTTTGGCCGATCAAACTCAAACTTCATGCAGTGCTTCCTTACTAAAAGTGCTTGCTTGGGATTACTTTTCAGGTCCGAAGGTCAAAGGTCAAGGTCACTGTTACTATAAATAGAAAATCTGTTTTCGTGCGATAACTTGAGTTTCCTCATGGGCCAATCAAACTCAAACTTCATGCAGTGCTTCCTTAGCAAAAGTGCTTGGTTGGGATTGCTTTTCAGGTCCAAAGGTCAAAGGTCAAGGTCACTGTTACTATAAATAGAAACTTCACTAAAACTGTATACTGGACGGCTTCGATCTACCACTTGACCCACCGTGTATACCTCTGAAATGCTGTCTTACTCCAAATGTTATTGACAACACTAGCTGTTTGACATCATAATCCACAAGTTTATTCATTTATTTATGGGAAACCATCTGACAAATCATACAAATTAAACTTGGAATTGAGACAATGAGTATCCATAGCAAGTTCCTTAAAACTCAGAGTATTCTTCCCAGAATAACAGATTATATAACAAAATGATGCCATCCAAAAACATAATCTATGATTATTGCTTACTTTTAACATTATTTCTTGAAATGAAAAGTGTATCTATTTCTTCGTAATCTCCCAGCTTCCTGCGCAGGCGACACATCCACTTCCGTGGAATTCTTGTATTTGAGAATGAAATGCATATATAACTCATGCTCTATTTTAATGCATTGTATATGATTTATCCCATAACCTAGCTCTGGGTCAGAGAAAGGCTTGATTTTCTCAGAACAGAAGGCATGTTTTGAGTACTCGCGAGGAAATTTTATGCAAGATTTCACATCATAATGCAAGTATTCCATCAACAGGTATATCATGGTGATGCCACACCCTGTGAGGTTATTTCATTAATAGTATCGGTAAAGTAAACCATATATGGACTAGAAGTAAGATCTAAACCAGTTATGGGATAAACATTTTATGTGGTAATATAAGTAATCTAGTCGGTGACATTTACCTGGTAAATGTAAATTTACGTTGTGCCTCAAAATTGGGGTTTAATTTGAATTACCGTAATACTATTTAATTTATTGAACTAGGATGACAAACATTGTAACAATATCTGTCAAATGGAGGCACGGTAGTCCAGTGGAAGGACGGCGGGCTCGTGCCCGAAGGGTTGCGTGGTCGAGTCACAGCTAGGCACATGTGTTTTATCTTTGAGCAGAATACTTTACTCTGCTTATTCCAGTCTACTCAGCTGTAAATGAGCATGTGGTTGGGCAGAGCTAGAATTGTTGAATGCCGAAATGGCAGCACCGGCTGTATGCTCCCCAGGGAGTTGAGAAAGATATTGGCTGGTTGCAAAGGCCCTATAACCAGGGATAATAATTTGTGAACCGCTTTGTGACGACCTACGAACTAGGTTGTGATAAAGTGGTATATAAGAACCTCAAATTGTTATTATTATAAATGGCTGTTTTTACAGACACTGAATTTGAGTACATGTACAATTGTATATTGAAGATGTTATAAATTGTGTTAATTGTTGAT